GAGCTGTGAAGAGAGATCAGAGCTCGGCCCGCACCGGCCCGGGGCCCACACACACCCTCCAGCCGGAGATCGGGTTTCAGGCCGGGTGTTGGAGGACCGATCAAAGCCCGTACACCTGCTGCCATTACACCCCATACACACACACACACACACTGAGCATCGCCCAGCTGGAGCCCTGACGCGCACACACACTCCATCAGCCCTCGTGCACACACTCCATCCCTCCATCAGCCCTAACGCGCACACACACACGCGCACACTACATCCCTACGCTCGTTTGGGGTGGTGATGGCGCAGTGGGTAAGACACATGCCTTTGGTGTGAGAGAGCCGGGTTCGAATCCACTGTGAGACACCAATGTGTCCCTGAGGAAGACACTTAACCCCTAGTTGCTCCAGAGGCGTGCGACCTCTGACATATAGAGCAATTGTAAGTAGCTTTGGATAAAAGCGTCAGCTAAACGAAGAAATGGAAATGTACACACACTCCATCCCTCCGCTCTACACACACTCACTATCCTGATTTTCATGATAGATCCCCTTTAATGACGGTGTGTGTCTGAAGAAGAGTCAGCTCCACTAACAGGAGAAACACGTCGAGCATCAAATCTCACAGTCGATCTGTTGAACCGAACATTAAAGGCGTCTTTGTTCTCAAACTGCAGATCTCCACCGAACATCTTCTGCACTCGCTGCGATCGACCCCTGTGTTTCATTAAATGTAGCATTTTGAAATCCCAGAGTTCTGAGAAAGACATAAATCAAACTCTCACAGCTGCAGGAGTGCCTGAGGAGAACACATGCTCCGCTGCGCCGTTCCTATCGTCATAAAGCTCGACTCGCCCCGCGGTTCCCAGGGGATGAAACTAGAGTCAGAGAGAGAGAGAAAGAGAGAGAAAGAGGGGGATGAGAGAGAGGGAATGAGAGAGGGAGAGAGAGGGAATGAGAGAGAGAATCAGAGAGAGAGAGAGAGGGGGAGGGAGAGAGAGAGGAAACGAGAGAGAGAGTCATAGAGAGAGGGGGGAGAGAAAGAGAGAGGGAATGAGAGAGAGACATAGAGAGAGGAGGGAGAGAAAGAGAGAGGGAATGAGAGAGAGACATAGAGAGAGGAGGGGAGAGAAAGAGAGAGGGAATGAGAGAGAGACATAGAGAGAGGAGGGGAGAGAAAGAGAGCGGGAATGAGACAGATACATGGAGAGAGAAGGGGAGAGAAAGAGAGAGGGAAAAAAGAGAGAGTCATAGAGAGAGTGAGGGAGAAAGAGAGAGAGACACCTGCGCTCAATCGCCCTGCATACCCGTGAGAGAGCCACTAATCCACACACACCACCTGCTGCCAGATGTGTGACGGGACCGTCGGCACCGCTCATGTGCACTGGCATACTGAAATGGATCAGACTGACAAAGTTAGAGATGCGGTAAACCATTTTAACAATGATGCTGACTAGAGTGCATCTCAATCAGTCAAGTTATGTCCAGTCGAGTCAAAATGTATTTCTAGAGTTTATTTAAAAGCAACAGTGCTGTACAACAAAACGTTTAACATATAAAAGGAAAGGTTTAAACTAATCATAATCAAAGGCCAGAGAGAATAAATTAGATTTAAGAGCCAATTTACGAGCAAACTGCTCCAAAGTTTGGGTTCTGCAGCCCTAGCTCACGAGCTCACGATCACTGGAAGCACTGGAAGCTCACTGGGAGACAGGTGACTGGTTATCCTGCATGATGGCATGTTCGCTGTACAACGCCACGACTGTACGTCAGCAAAACTGATGTGATTTGCGCTTCTGAACTTCATTAAGGGAACATAGTGCGCATCGAAAGTTTCACTGCACTAGAAGGATATTGAGATACAGCCTTTAAATGACTCCCTGACTAGTGCTCTGACTAACTCAGTACAGGGTCACAGATACAGATGTGATTTATCACAGAATAAACATAAATTACAAAATGCAATTACATGCATTTTAAAGATGATATCTGAACGCCACTGGGGAAATGAAACATGCTAAATAATAAGGTCATGATTATAGTAGCTTGTTTCCACCACAAAATAAAAAAAGGAAACCTTTTCTCTGATTTGTGATTTATAAACTTGCAATTCTAAGAGAAAAGATGGCAACACTTTACGATACGGTGCGTTAGTTAACATTAGATAACTTACATTAGTTAGTGAGATCTAAAAATGAACTGCACATATACAGCATTTACAGCGAAGGGTTAGCGAAGGGTGAACACAGCGAAGGGTTAGCGAAGGGTGAACATACCGAAGGGTTAGCGAAGGGTTAGCGAAGGGTGAACAGAGCGAAGGGTGAACATAGCGAAGGGTTAGCGAAGGGTTAGCGAAGGGTGAACACAGCGAAGGGTGAACATAGCGAAGGGTTAGCGAAGTATTAACACAGCGAAGGGTTAACACGGCATAAAATCACTGTATGTCCATAAAAGAGGCTTTCAAAGCCGCGCGGTCTGGATCCTTCTGTGATAAATCCAACGCCTTTAATTGCCTTTAATTTATTAGTGTGTTCCAACCTCAGGCTCATTAAACAGAAACATATTGGTCTGCGTCTACGGGAGTTTAACAAGTACAAAACTCCCATTTTCTAAGTAAATTGGAATTTCTTTTTAATTGACTGGTAAACAATGGAATGGAAAGCAGATGTAGCGCAGCAAAGTCGAGGCCGTCTTCAAGCTAGCGGAGCCAGAGATGCAGATGGGCCTGGGAATTATTTAAATGTCATTTCAAGGTAATTAAACGTTACAGTTTTGAAGAACGCTTTGAGGTTCAAGAGCTCAGGAAAGGAGTAAAGGGAGATAAAGACACAAGAACAGAGCGGGAACGCTTCCAAGCACATCTGGGTCTCCGGGACCGCGTTCTCCAGTTCAGCGCGAGATCCTGAAAAAGATTATTATGGAATTCATAAAATACATGTCGAAGGTTTAGAAATATTACTGGGCAGATTAAAGGCGAACGCTGCAATATAATGTTATAAAGCATGGCTTGAAGACTTGGAGGAAAACACACAGAGACGTTCCTCAGAGAGAGTGTGTCATCTCATCTCATCTCATCTAGCAGAGGAGCTCGCAGGACTGCATGATATCCCAGAATCCCCTGCTTCACTGTCATTGGGAGAGTCTAGCTGTGTCTCGCTGACTCGCTCGCTCGGTCACTCGTCCCTATAGTGTGTGGCGTTAGAGTGGACGTCATGAAGCGAGTGACACGACTTCGCCACACGGACTGATAAAACTCCTTTATCTCACTTTAGAAAATAATATTAACAGCAATAACAACCATAATGACTATTTTGTAATGTTATATTCCTCCATGCCAGCTTTGCAGTTTCGTCGACAGCAGTCGACTCAGACGACGAGGTCGTTAGCGTAGGCATATGATGATCCACCAAATCATCATATGCCTAAATAATATATTTTAAGAATAAAAATAATACAATTTACAATTTAAATTTAAAATTCATCTATATAGTATTGTCTCTACATTTTAATGTTTTATTCGAGTAATGATTAATAAAAAAGGCTAAAACTAGCATGAAGTAAATGTTAAAGGAGCAATAAGAAAGATGTCAGTAATCTCTGGTTTAAACTCGTGCTCAGTTCTCTCGCATTGCATTGTGGGACATCAAATGTACACTCGGTTTCAGAGAAGATTGTGGGTAAACGTAGTGAACAAATGTAGGGAATGGTGTCGTTCACCACTACGAACAGTGCGACACCGATGTAAGTGCACTATATAGTGTACAGGGAGCGGTTCTGACAATACACACATGTGAGGATCGTACACAAACACACAACATCGAGTTCCTCCACACACTCGGCCCGGACTCGATGATGCTAACCCCTCTGTCATCTGTTACTCTCTCTCGTGTCGATCTGAACTCTGAGTCTTCAGAGGAACACGAGAAGATCTTTTGAAGAACGTTGGGAACCAAACAGCACCGACCTTCATTATATGGACAAACACACTACGCCGTTTCTCAGAACATCATCTCCTGTGTTTGACTGAAGAAAGAGCGTCACAGCGGTTTGGACGACCCGAGGGAGAGTGCTCGTGGACGAACTGTCCGCTCTAGTGCTCAGCATCGACTACACAGTGTTTGTGTTTCCACACAGCAGCTTTACAGAGATAACAGGAACATACGAGTGTGTGTTTAGAAGAGAAGAGCGTCACAGTCCAGATTAGGTGAGTTCAGTGATGTTATTAAAGTTATTTTTTAACTTTAATATTGAAGTTATAAAAATGAGCTAATTTATATATATATCTAGGCGCTCTGGAGAAGAGCGTGATGTCATCGTCCAGCTCAGTTCAGTTCATATAATGCGGTCAGTGCAGGAGATCAATAATATTGCTGGATATTAAATGAAATGTCCTCCACTAAGCGAGCCAAGCCAATGGCAACAACAGTGGAAAACGGCGACAGCGGCTGTGTGTGATTGTGTGTGTAGAATTAGTTTGTATATATAAAACACACACACATGCATGTACATATTTAAGAAAAATCTGTTATTCATAATTCCCTCTGATGTTCATTGATGTTTATTTGCTGCTGTAACTGGTAGTAAAGAGGAAGAGATGATCGGTTCATCTGTCACACACACACACACACACATTCACTGACTGAATTTAGACTTTGTTTCATATCAAAAGTACCAAAGCACAAAGATTACAGTGATTATGGGATGGCGGGAGCTTCAGATAATGAGAAGTTGAGATTTAAGGTTGAATATTCTGAACAGTCAGCTGTGGAGGACTGAGCGTCTCCGTGATACACACACACACACACACACACACTTCAGCTCAATAATGCTGATTTACTGCCAGAGCACGACGAGTCTGGATCCTCTCAAGCCTTCGGTCTCCTTGACCTGCACATTTTATGGAGGATTTAGTATAAAGACGTTCAACACACTGACACACACACACACACACACACGTGTATATAGGCGTCTCGCTCGCCCCATCATGATCAGGTGTGTGTGTGTGTGTCTCACCGGGGTTGGGCGCGTGCTCCTGCTGAGGGAGCTGTAGTGAGATCTGGAGGAGGTCAGGTGACAGGAGGGACGCAGGTTTACGGCTCCCGATCAGCCAGTGTCTCGTGTGCAGATCTGTGGTGTCAGACGGACCCTGAACCAGTGGAACCAGCTGCTCCTTCTGCCCGTCACACACACCTGCACACACACACAGTAACACATTAATAACCGTCTAAACATATTTTGCACAATGAACATTCATCTGTTATATTCGACATGTTTGATGGGGTGTGTATTAGAATAGAGGAATGGAGAGTGTGTTGTGTGTGTGTGCTATAATTTTCTCTCTGATATTATCAATCTTGTAAAGAAGTTCATGAAGTCATTGCTGCTGTGTTGCTTGGAAACTTCAAAAGTAGAAGCTTTATTTCCTGTCAAGCTGCTTTATTTTTCATTAATTAGCCACTGTATCAAATAAATACCCAGGCTTGTGTTTGATTTCTTATGAGAGAGTTGAAGAATAAGCAGATCTTGCAGCTTTTAAGGCCTCTCTGTATGCAATCGTAATCCACGAAATGTGAAATCCCTGTAGTTTGGTGTTCTTCCAGCTGCGCTCTTGAGGGCTCGAGTGTGCTCGCTGTACTATGTCGATGCACTATTTTCTTTAACATATATAAATAACTTATAATCACTATTTTACAACAAAAATGAAGCATCGCTGATCTTCCTGAAGCTGGACTGTGACGCTCTTCTCTTCTAGACACGAACTCTGTTGCATTATGGTCCGGTTGTCTCCGTGAAGCTGCTCTGAAACTCTGTGCTGTGAAGCGCTGTATAAATAGAGTTGACTGGACTTGAAGTTTAAACCGTTAGAAATTCTATTCTATAATGCAATCATTTTACAACGTCTTTTGCATTAAACTGGGAAGAGAAATCGCTCTAATCCTGTACAGCATCATCAGAGCTATAATATAATACAACTTAAAGCAACCGAATCCTGGAATGAGCAATAAAACACAAACCATACAGAAAACATGTGTGTGTGTGTGTGTGTGTGTGTGTGTGTGTGTGCGTGCGTGTGTGTGTGTGTGTGCTCTCACCCGGTGTTCTGGCACAAACTTTCACGGCTCCCAGAGTTCCAGAGACACACAGCAGTGCCGGCCGCACACACACCTTCAGCTCCACACGCTGAACACACACCTCCAGCACGGGGGCGACACACACCGGCTTCACACCTGCTGAAACACAGACCCGCCTCGCATCACGTGTGTCAGCAGCACAGATGCATGATGGGAACTCAGGCACAAAACACATACTGAAATGACAAGCATTCACTCATGTTTATCACTAATACATATTTAGTGCTGCGTGTGTGTGTGTGTGTGTGTGTTGGCTTTGCCCTTTGGGTGTTTGATGGGGTGTGTGACCTCAGTGACCTCCAGCTGTTTGCTTGTGCACCTCTGCACCTGCGCCCACACACACACACACTCTCTCTCACACACGCACAACAGGAGGTGCATTTTTGTGGTTTGAGGTTGTGCATATATGAACACATCTGGAGTAAGTGCATGTGTGTGTGTGTGTGTGTGTGTGTATGAGAGAGTGAGAGTGTGTGTGTGTGTATGAGGCTTCTGCATTCTGGAAAGTGTGATTTTATCATGTGGCACATTCATGATGAAGAGAAGAGACACACACACACACACACACGACTGTTTCTCCATGAACGTGTCAGACAGATTCCTCTGCTGGATTTCATGGACACACGTCTCACACACAAGGACAACACACTCCATCAAAACAAGGACACACTCACACACAGTGCGTGAAGTCATCAAACAGACACACATCCATTAAGGCACTCTCTCTCTCACACACACACACACTGCGAGCTAAAGGACTTGCACAGGTGTGTGTGTGTGAGGTGCAGGTACCTGTAGTGTTGAAGGCGTGGCTAATGAGGCAGTCGCTGATGCCGCTGCAGGCTCCGCCCCCCAGTGTGTGTGTCCAGCTGCGATACATGGACTGGAGCAGCAGCACCTGCGCACGCGTCGCCTGAACACACACCTGCGGCAGCTCAAACACACACTCTCTCACGGGGACGGAGGCCTTCCTCGCCCTGAGGAACACACACAGATCAACATCATCAGCACAGAGAGATCATGGTCACACACACACACTCTCTTCATCACGCTGAAGACACTCCCGCTCTCCACACACACACACACACACACACACACACCCTCCATCATGTTGAACACACTCACGTTCTTCACACACACACACTCTCTTCATCATGCTGAACACACTCCTGCTTTCCACACACACACACACGAGTCGCATGTAGAGCATGACACATCAGTCACGGATGAGCTTTACACAGCAGACTCACACCCACATATCAAACATGTGATAATGGATAAAGTATTAATAAAGTAGGTCAGACATTTAAACACTGAACTGAGTAACTATAGCAACACACACCTCACATTACACACACAACAACATTAAATTTTACAACATAAACATTAAACATTATTAAAACATTAAACATTAAATTTAACATTTGTTCTTCACAACAGTCTGTCACTGACTGGCAACATAAGACTATAATATAATATAATATAATATAATATAATATAATATAATTAGTCAAGTCATCTTCATTTATGTCTTCACATATGTATGCTTGTTCCAAATCGGCTTTACAGTGATAATAGGTAAATAACACATTAAAGTAACAGATTGTTTTGGCTTTATAGCAGCTCTAAAATAGAGTTATTATCCAATTAAAGACAGTTTTGATTGATTCTCTTCAGTCGAACGATCATTAGCGATTAACTTAGGAGCCGCTAACATGATACCGCTCTAACAGAAAACACGTAAGCTCTCTCTACGCGAACCTGTGAGAACCAGAACACATGATGAGTCAGCCGGACCCGGGCCGCATCCGATCAGATGGAGGACCTGCGCCTCGACACGACCAGGACCAGACTCACACACGCGAACCTCCAACATCAGGGCGTTACACACACACGCGACAGCCGAACCTCCAACATCAGGACGACACACACACGCGACAGTCGAACATGCTGTGGTCACATGATGGAGTCAGCCGGACCCGGGCCGCATCCGATCAGATGGAGGTTTTCGGGAAGAGTCAGGAGAGGGTTTTCTCCATTCTGAGTTTGGGTTCCTCCACTGTGGCCTTTGCTTTGGGCTGCTCAGTTGGAGACATTTAATATCCAGCAATATTATTGATCTCCTGCACTGACAGCATTATATGAGAACTGAACTGAGCTGGACGATGACATCACGCTCTTCTCCAGAGCGCCTACAGATATATAAATCAACTAAATTAAGAACTTTATGATAAAAACGAAGCATCACTGAACTCATTTAAGCTGGACTGTGACGCGATCCTCTTCTAGACACAAACTCTGTTGCATTATGGTCCTGCTATCTCTGTAAAGCTGCTTTGCGTGTGTGTGTGTGCGTGTGTGTGTGTGTGTGTGATCAGCTCTGACGGGGAGAAGCACCGCTGCAAACACTTAGCGCTCCTCTCATCCAGGCTTTGTGCTTCTGGGTGGTTCAGTGCGTAACGCCTGACAGCGGCGGAGGCTGACGGACAGCAGAGCACACACACACACACACCCAGAGGGGTCAGAGGTCACGGGCAGACGGGCTTCAGCAGAATCTCTGATCCGGATTCAAGGAGTCACGAGCGTCCGGACGACAGCGGAAAGACAGCAGCACACACACACACACGCACACACACACACACACACATGCACTGGCACGCCATGAAAGGTGGCGATTCGCTTTATTTCTGCCATTTTGGGGAAAGATCTTAGCGACGCACCATCTGCACCTGCTTTACTAATAAATAAACACGTTCAAACGCAGCAAACAGCCACGCTAATCAGCACCAGACACACACATGCGACAGTCCACACACACACACACACACACGACACAATCCAACCTCTAACATCAGCACGTTACACACACACACACACACACACACACACACACTCACTGGTGGGTAAAGTGCTTAGATGAGTGTGTCAGTGGAGGGTAATAAATATCCTGTCATTAGCTGAGAGTCTGAGTGTGTGAAAGAGAGCCATTAACGCTGTGTGTGTGTGTGTGTGTGTGTGTGTGTGTGTGTGTGAGAGAGAGTGAGAGTGTTGGCCGGAGGTGAGGCGTCTCACACGGTACCGATCACCCTTCATTTAAAGAACTCCCCGGAGCCCGGCGGGTCGAGCGGCCGGTTCTGCAGCTGCTTCAGTGTGTGTGTGTGTGTGTGTGAGAGATGCAGTAATGAGACGCAGCAGCGCTCCTGCTAAACCTGTTACAGCACATGAGGAGCGCAGACTCCACCGCCAGCAGCGATCAAGGCCACATCACACACACACACACACACACACACACACACACACACACACACACACACACACTGCTGCACTGGAGCTCAGATGTGACCAGTGTTAAAGCTGGAGCTTCTTCTGTTTGTGTAACGCAGCATCTGATCTACACCAATATCCCATCATGCTCTTCTGTCAGTCAGAATCTGCTGCTGTTCATCGAGTGTGTTTACATGTTCTGTACCTGATCATGCCCAATAATCCAGCAGTGTGTGTGTGTGTGTGTACATGCGTTAGCCTGTTCTCCTTTATGGGAGTAAATCATGAACGGCTTCAGCATAAAGTGATTGACAGTTCGATTTCTCCGGTGTATAAACTTATAAAGCAGCGCTCTGTGGCTCACTGAGGTCATGTGTGTGTGTGTGTGTGTGTGTGTGTCTCACCAGTACACAGGCAGACAGAGCTGTTTCCAGTAGACCGCAGTGCTGAAGGAGGGGATGATGGGAATAATGGGCTGAAACTCTCCTGAGTCGATCACAGTCAGACCCGCCTGGAGCTCAAACACCTGAAACACACACACACACACACACACACACACACACACACACGCACACAAGCTTTAAACCTGATGCATGTTTTCAGTCCAAGCATTCAGAGCAGAACTTCATCAGTGTGTATCGCTGGTGTGTGTGTGCGTGTGTGTGTGTGTGTGTGTGCTGTGGCACTCTGCGTTTTCCGGAATAACAGAGTTCATCTCCATGGCGATGATGTTGGGAAGAATAAGATACACCAGTAACACCATGAGGAGTGTGTTAGCATAAGCTGGAGTGCATCTAATGAAGCAGCGCCAGAAACAGTGTGTATTCCTAATCAACACTGACCACACACACACACACACACGCCTCATTATACACAAGTGTGTGCATGTTCACGCTCGTCTGATGTGTGCATGTTTGAGTGTGTGTGTGTGTGTGTGTACCTTCAGGTAGCAGTGTGTGTAGCAGTGGTGCAGGAGTGTGTGTGAGGGCTGGCTCAGGCTGCTGGCTGCACGTGTCACTTCCTGTTCCTGCATGGGTTCTGAATGTTCGAACGTGACGCGCTGGACCTGCAGCTGAAGAGCCGGAAGAGGACGCAGGATCGGGACCTGAGAGACGGAGGCCTGCGCCGTCGAGACCTGGGACACACACACACACACACACACACAGATAAGGCAAGTCAAGGTGAGTGTGTGTCAAGTCAAGTCACCTTTATTTATATAACACTTTTACAACATGTGTTCCTAGAAGATGATGATGTCACGGTCCAGCTTCAGGAGTGAAAGGGGCTGTAAGCGATGTCGGGTGACGTGACTTCTTGTCGACGTTTAAAGTATTTTCAGACAAAACGGAGGCTAGATACACCCTTCTTCTAACCGAACCCTAACCTTAACCCTTAACCCTTAACCCCTAACCCTAACGAGCGGAACCGATAAGCGGAATTGTTAAGCAGACATGCTAACGGATCCAAGGAATTGATTCACCGGTTCTGATGAAGAAGCGGTTCTCGGTTCCCATCCCTAATCATTCTCATCATCATCTTCATCTTCATCAGCCTAATCATCTTCATCCTCCTCCTCCTCATCATCATCATCATCATCTTCATCATCATCATCATCATCTTCATCTTCATCCTCATCATCTTCATCCTCCTCCTCATCACGCCACTGGCCCCGCTAGTCACAATCTTCTTTTGCGTTCAGCAGAAGAAACGAACTCATCCATGTTTGGAAAGATTAGAGGGAGTAAATGATGATGAATTGTCAGTTTTGGGTGAACTATCCCTTTAATTTGGGTCATATTTATATTTATATATTTATATATACAGCCGCTCTGGAGAAGAGCGTGATGTCATCGTCCAGCTCAGTTCAGTTCATATAATGCTGTCAGTGCAGGAGATCAATAATATTGCTGAAAATTAAATGTGTATGAGAGTGTGTGTGTGTGTGTGTGTGTGTGTGTGTGTGTACCTTGTGTCCCAGTAGAGCGGGCAGGATGAGGTGCAGGAGGTTGTATTCGGCTGCAGGGACAGTGACTCTCGCTCTCATCAACATCACACTGGTCTGACGGGTGGGAATAAACTCCTCCAGCGCTGAAACCTGCTCCGGCCCCACACACACAGGCTCCTCCACAACATCTGACACACACACACACACACACACACAATAGTGGCATTATTCAGATCAATTAAATTCAAGTTTTGTTAAACTGAAGACGACACTATCAGAGTCTTCACTCTAAGTGATCCATGATGTGTGTGTGTGTGTGTGTGTGTGTGTGTGTGGTTACCGGGCTGTGGTTTGCAGTAGGGCTGGTACTCGTGGTCCAGTGTGCAGGCGATCATCTTCAGGATGCGGTGAACGGCGCTGCTGTGGAGCTGCAGATCCAGAGGACCGACTACAATCCTCTTCACTGACGTCTCCTGAACCAGCGGCTCGTCTTTACACTCCTGCGGCCCCACACACACTGCAGAACACACAACACACACTTCAGCTTTACACTCCTGCGGCCCCACACACACTGCAGAACACACAACACACAACACACACTTCAGCTTTACACTCCTGCGGCCCCACACACACTGCAGAACACACAACACACAACACACACTTCAGCTTTACACTCCTGCGGCCCCACACACACTGCAGAACACGAGTGTGTGTCGAGCGTCAGACGAAACACAGTAAACGCTGCCGTGTTCTCTAGCGAGGGAATTACTCCTGATCACTCTGAACACACACTTCCACTCCGGCGTTTCAGAAACACCAAACCAACATTTGAGACGCTGCGATGCCATTGGTCCGCTGGTTAGTCCAGTTATCCAATCACAGCCTCCGCTGAGGCTTTTGTTGCTCATCGAGTGATTTATTCATGAAATGCGTTTCCATCATAGTTTGATCTTCAATCGAGCGCATCCGCTTTATGTTTCCCTGCGATCTCCCGAACTGCGGACGGAGACGGCAGACACAGCAGCTTCTGGAGCTCAGACAACTACAGTCTCCATGTTAGAAGCATCAAAACAGATTTCAGTATTTTGGGCAGTTATTGCCAAATAAACTGGCTTTCCATGAACAGGGCTGAAATGATTACGTCTTGTGAAAACATACACACACACACACACA